GCGCCGTTGCCGGGGATAACGGAAGCCTACCGTTGTCCCTGGTGGAACGACATCCGGGTATGGGAGTAAGAGAGAAACTAGGCATACGAGTGAGTAAGAGAAGGACTATGAGATGAACTGTATGGTGATCTATACGACTGAGGGTTGAATGATTGATTGATTGGCGGCTTGGTTGASAGCTTGAATGAAGCAAGTGGGTGAGGAAGTTCTATGGTGAGGATAAGTCTTATCTAGGTGAGCCTAAGGGAAATAGGAAAAGGAATGTCTGCGAGGTCTAAAGTATGGGGTGTCTAAGTGGCCAACCCGATAGGGTCATGAAGGGTTGAGTCGCGGAGTGGGGTCCTTTGTCCCATCGTCTCTTATAACGGGACGATTGAAGTCGAAGGCGGTTGGCCAAAATGCCAGAGGAGATGACGGACGGTGGGAGGAGGTTTGTGAYTCTCGACGACCTCATCGATGCCTTGGACAAGCGCGAGAGGGCGCCGAGCAATGTTCCAAAGGTCGAGACATTTCACTTCAAAGGGGATYGGGTATCTGACTGGTTGGATCTGACAGAGCAGGCGCTGGTGGGACTGTCAGATGAGGTCAAGCTCCAGAGGGTCCTGAGGTACGTCCTGCATAGTCATCATCGGTAAGTAACTAAGGTTGTGGATGCCGCCAGTGACAGCTGGACAAAGTTTGGGGACCTGATGCGAAGGAAGTACAGGCTGGGGGATGGCCTGTTGATCATGGCCGACTTGGAGGCCATGAACAAGGAAGACTTTTCTACCATTGGGGCGTTTGTGCACGAGTTCAAGAAAAATGCGAGGAAAGTGCACGGGATTTCTGAGGAGCCGCAATGCGCCACATTTTTGGGGCTGCTTACGGGCTCGGAGGCCACAGAGCCAACCAAGTATGGGGAAGGAAGCGAGAGGCTCACCTGGGCAACCATTGACAAGGGAGTGGAAGAAGGGAACCTGGACCAGGTGGAGCARCACCAAATGAGGCTGCAAAGGCGCAAGAGGAAGGAGAGGGATGCTACCGCATCCGGGACCCCAGGGGTTAAGAGAATAGTCACGGACGTGTTGGGGACACTAGGGTATGATAACGAAGCGGAGATACAGAAAAGAGGGGTGCTAGTGGCCCAAGGCCGGGCGTCAGGGGCAGTGGATGAGGAGGCTGGGCAAGAAGACTAAGGCCCAGAGGAAGCAGCGCAATTTGCTGCAGGGAGGGCAGGGGTCAGGGAAGGGGCAGGCTCCCCAAGCCATTGCCGCACCACCGCCTGTCGCCGCGGCCGCGCCAGCGCCAGGAGGACCATCGCACATGGGGCCGCCACCAGCTTGCGGGCACTGGGTGCCGCATTGTCAGTCCGCGCCCTGGCCCAGTTGCGACCACTGTGTCTCGTGTGGAGGAAGTCAGGCCCACGCGGGGCACATGGTCCCCTATTTAGGTCCATCAGCAAGTATGGGCCCCCCGAGCTACCCGGCGACTCAGAGCCAGCCCGTGGCTCAACCGCCGCCCTCCCAACAGGCCTCGCAAGCTAGCGTGGCCGGGGGAGGGGGCCAAGGACAAGGCGGGMAAGGCAATGGGGGCCGAGGCCAAGGGGGTAGAGGAGGGGGCGGCCGGGGGCGAGGGGGAAATGGAGGAGGCCGTGGAGGAGGCTGGAATGGTCAAGGGGGTAAGAACCAAGGTGGCCAAGGCAGCCAGGGAGGGGGCCAAGGGTATGGGAGGCCCCGCTTCGACTGGCGGAATGCAACTTGTTGGCATTATGGCGAGGTGGGCCACACCATACGGTTCTGCCAGCAGCGGCGAGATGATGAGTTGGCGGGACTGATCTCCTCATGCATGGACGGGGACATATACGATAGGTGGGRAAAGCATATTGATCCCAAGACCCCGGGAGGAATCAGGCAGGAAGCCCTCAGGCGAGCAGCGGCAGGGCCTCCAGCAGCCCCAACAATGTTCAGGATATGGCAGGAAAGGCAAGACCCGGGTGTGAGAGTCGAGGAGATTGTGGATGAAAATGAGGAAGTGACTCMGCGGCTGAAGGCGGGGACTATAAAGGAGGAGCCTATAGTCGTTGAGTCAGACGATGAGGCAMARGAGGTGGTGAGAGAGTCAGCCTCGACCATCCCGGAAAGGATGGAGGACCTGCTTGCAAAGGTCGGCAGATATCAGGAACGGCTGAGGGTGATGTGCGAAGAGGCCCGGGAATGGGAAATGAATCTTCCTGAGGTAATGCTCTATGGGTCCGGCCCGGAGTCATCATCAGGACCGCAAGGGTGTCCAAGCGTGGYGACGGCCGGGGCAGGTCCTAGGTCAGGGATGACCCTCAGACTCCCTACGTCGCATGGAAGGGTGCCACAGACCGCGCAGACTAGGGGCCAAACCAAGGCTACCGCCTGTCAGGGGCCTAGCCAGGCACCTGGTCGGGTGTCTCCTCGAAAGGGCCCTTAGCCTGAACGAAGGAAAGAAGTGGTAGAGGTTCAAGAAGAGGAAGWTGAGGGTGATGACGAAGAGGATGAGAGGCTTCGCTAGGAAGAAGACCGGCGAGCTGAGCAGAGGGCCAAGAAGAGAGGGATTCAGGGAGGGGCGGAGCTGAGCCTGCACGATGGCGTGCCAAAAAGGAAGAAGTACGCAATCCGGCTGGAGGAGGGCTTTGACGTGGAGCRAACAGTGGACAAGCTCTTGGAAGGCCACAATGATCCGATGAATTTAAAAGACATCCTGGCGTCAGCGCCAAGACTCCGTGGCGAGCTGAAGGGGCGACTCTCGCGGAGGCTAGTGCCCAACGTCCACCTGAGCTCAATTCTGCCCAGGGAGATAAAGTGGACAAAGGCGGGCATCAGGATGGACTGGAAATGTGTAGCATGTGGGTTGGTGGATCTGAAGGTGAAAGACCAGCCGAGCATCGCAATGGTGGACACGGGCGCCGAGATGAATATCATACGGGAGCGGGACGCGACTATGCTAGGGCTGGAGGTGGATCATTCGGACCATGGTGTGCTGCATGGCGCMAACTGCAAGGCCAATGTGATGGTGGAGATCGGGAGGGTACGGGCGYGAACGTGCTTCTTCGTCATGMTCGATGTCGACCACCCTATCCTTCTAGGGAGGTYGTTCCTCTGCCGACCGGAGAGCTTGGTCTTCAACAGGCATGAGGGGACGATGATCCTGGCTCTATCCGATCCGGCCTGCGGGAATTACGAGATTATTAAGTGCCGGAACACAGGGCCCGGAAGTGCGAGGAACAGGCTCAACCTCGGCTCCTTTACCTTTAAGGAGTCTGAGTACGCGCGACGGAGACTTCGGGAGGAGCAGGAGGAGGAAGGAGCAGGCGAGGTGTTGTCCCTGAGCCTTAACGATGTGAATAAGGCAATGGAGGTGGTGGCGGCGCAAAGGAGCAGGCGAGGTGTTGTCCCTGAGCCTATAAAGGCCTTGAGGGAGCAGGTCCTGGAAAGCCCTCAGGTGGGAGAAGTGAAACTAATTTATCGGCTTCCCGAGCGGCAAGGGGACCCTGCGATGGCCCAGGCCCGAACGACAAGTCGGCCTTTTTCAGGGGAGGGTTTAAGCAGGGCTCCCAAAGGCGGTACAAGACTATAGATAAGAAGTGTYGCCCGGTCCCCGTGCTTGTCACGGAGGATGAGGAARCCTATTATGAGCGGGAGCGAGGGCTGATAAGAYGTATGCGGGAGCGTGCGCAGGCAGGGCCGTGCCKCATCAATGACGAGAATGAGGAAGGGTTGATAATTGGCGAGCCCGACTTCCTTTCGCCCCAGGAGAGGACCTTGATGGTGGAGACCATGAAGAGGAGGCATTGCGCGTATGCGTTTAATGACRATGAGCGTGGGAGGTTGGAMGTGGATAAGATTCCAATGATACAAATTCACACCGTCCCACASGAGCCGTGGAACCTGAGGGGCGCGCGATACCCGAATCCAAATGAAGAAAAGAAGGTGGTGGACTACCTTGACGGGAAGATGCGGACATACGTGGCAGACTATTCCAGTGGACCGTATGCCTCCCCTTGGTTTTGTTTTATCAAGCCGAACGGAACGCTACGGTGGGTGCAGGATTTGCAACGATTGAATGCAGTGACGGTGCGGGACGCGGGAGGATTGCCGAACGCGGACGCCCTGTCAGAGTCATGCGCAGGGAGGCCTATAATCTCAATTATAGACATTTATTCTGGGTATGACCAGTTTTCTGTGTACCCGCCAGATAGGCCRGTGACGGCGATGCATACGCCAAGGGGGCTGATCCACATGAACGTGGCCCCTCAGGGGAGGACTAGTGCGGTGGCGATGGTGCAAAGGCACATGATTAGGGCCATGCAGACGGTTAGTCCACATATTACCCAGCCCTACATTGACGATCTGGCGGTCAAGGGTCCAAAGGAGAAGGAGGAAGACGAAGTGACGCCAGGAGTGAGGCAGTTCGTCTGGAAGCACATCTAGGATATCGATCAGGTTCTGGGTCTGCTGGAAAAACACAACCTGACGGCGAGCGGCCCCAAGTCGAAGCATTGTATGTGGGAGGCCACAATTATGGGCTTTGTTTGCAACGAGAAGGGGCGGAGGCCAGATGTGAAGAAAACGGACAAGATTCTAGAGTGGCCAGTCCCCTTCCGGTCAATAACGGACATGAGAAGCTTCTTTGGGACCTGTGGGTTTTGGAGGAGTTTTGCGAAGGRCTTTGCCACCAAGACGGAGCATCTAAGGAAGTTAGTGCATCAGGATCAGGAATGGGTCTGGGGCGAAGACCAGGAAAAGGTTGTGGAAAGGATGAAGAGAGAGTTCAAAGAAGGAGGCTTAGTGCTGGGAGCGCCAAATTATGAGGCTATGGAGGAAAAACCATTCGTTGTCGAGACGGTCGTACCCTCGATACGACTGAGAGGAATTACTCCCAGTTTAAAAAGGAGACGCTGGCGGTACTCCACTGCCTGAGGACCTTCCGGAACTATATCTTTGGCAGGAGGGTCATCTTGAGGGTGGACCCCACCGCGCTTGTGTCTTCCCTGAAAAGTTATACTCCATCTGACCCAACCATCGCGAGGTGGTTGACTTACATTTGGATGTTTAACTTCGAATTGGAGAGGATTCCAGGGGACAAAAACATGGCAGATGGGTTGAGCCGTATCAATTGGGACGGGGCGAATCAAGAATCAATTGAGGATACCCCACCAGTCGACGGGTTCTTGGACCAGGAGGAGGATGTCCGCCTCCACATAAATGAATGGTCGTTGAGGGTGCCTAGCTGCGTCACGCATCCCATATGGCTAACACCAAGGGGGTACGAGCGAAAGGTGGAACTGGTCCTCAAGCCTTTCTAGGAGGAAGATCCGTGGGGGAGTAGGGATGTCGGCTGGATGACGAAGTTGGCATTGGCAGGGACACATAGTCTGGCGGAGGAGGTGAGGACGATAGAGGAAGGCCCAACCCAGGTAGAGGAGCGTGAGCAACTAATG